CCAGTGCGAGTGTTTTTGCCGATGAGTGAGAAGGCCCTGGCTGCGATCCTTGGAACCAAAAGGAGGGAGGGAGGAAGGGAGGATCACTGAGTTTGGGAGAGCCTGGGTGGGAGGGAGGGAGGAGCAGCGGGGAGGATCACTGAGGTTGGGAGAACCTGGGTCTTCAGCAACTCTGACCTGAGGAGCTCTTGATTCTGGGAGCCCAGGAGGGCTGACCTGGAGACAAAGAAAAAGCATGAGGCTCCATCTCAGGCACCTGCCTAGACAAGCAGCTCTCACTCTTCCAAACTCACTGTGCTCCTTCACTTATTTCATGCATATTGCGTAGAGATCTGCGCTGTCCCAGTTAACGCTGACTTCACCCCTCCTCACAGATAACAATCCCGTCATCACTGAGACCAGTGTAGCACTGTGCCCAAAGAGAGGGGCAGGGACATGGAGCAAGACCAGAGGTTCTTGCTCTTGGCATAGGTCCTGAATTGGCAGGGGCTGGGGCTGGTGGCACAGGCCTGCAATCCTAGCTACTTGAGCAACTGAGGCCAGAGGATTACAAGTTCAAGACCAGCCTGGGAAACTTAGTGAGACCGTGTTTCAAAACAACAAAGGGGTTGTAGAGGACCCAGGTTAACAACCATCTCTAAACTCCAGTTCCAGAGGATCTGCCACCTTCTTCTGGCCCCCGTGGGCATTGTATACCTGTGGTGTACTTACATACATGCTGGCAAAACACTCATACACATAAAATAAAAATAACTCAAATTTTTTTTAAATAAAAAGCAGACTGGAAATATAGCTGAATATTAGTGTTTGCCTAGCATATGGGAGGTCCAGAGTTCAATCTCTATTACTAAAAAACATATTGTAGGGCTTTGCCATCCATGGTATGAAGACAGTGGCAGTGCCAGGAGTAGCTGGTGGCTGAGGCAGGGGGTGGGAACAAATTACCCAGTGTCTCAGATGTTTGTGCTGAACCCAGAAACGAAGGGAGTTAGACTGGAGGGGAGCCCCACTATAAAAGAGGGCCCCCCCAGCTGATGGGAGCTTTAATTTGCATATAGACAATTGATGCTAATTGCAAATCATTCTTATCTACTCATTAAGCTGCTTTCCCAAGTTTTCTCCTAGGCAACTGGGTTTTAGTGTGGAACAGCATTTCCCAAAATGAGGTGCCTGAAGTGATTTGGTGGCAGGAGGGAGATGCTTCCTCTTAAGTGGATGTGTGTTTCCTTTATCAAGTATGAGGCAAAAGCTTCCACCCCACCCCTGACTACAGATATTGCACTAGACAAGTTAAGGAAAGATGGACCTTTTTCTTCTCTCTCTCTCTCTTTTTTTTAGGGGTGGAATCTTGTTTTGGGTGGGGAGTAAGACTGGACCTTATTATCTAACCTCTGGCTGGCCTGGGACTGACTATGTAGACCAGACTGTCTACAAACTTGTGATAGTTCTCCTGCTTCTGCCTCTCCAATGCTGGGAGTGCGCCATCACGTACCACTACAACCTGCTCAAAATGAGGTGATTTAAAGAAATGTATTCAGCCCATTATGGTGGGGCACAACTGTAATCCCAGCACTGAGACAGGAGGATCGTGAGGTCAAGGCCAACCTAGGCCACATGACAAGAGCCTACCTCAGAGACGCACACAAAGGTGGTGTCCAGACAGTGCAGCACATCATCACCACCATCAGTGTTCCCCCACCATCCCTGTTCCCCTACCACTTTCTACTGGTCCTCCAAGTCTTCTCATTTCCATAGACTAATATTCCCCTAGGCAGTCACTGATCACCCAAGAGACCCCAGGCATCTCTGCCACCTGCTGGCCATGCTTCCTTGTAGCAGACAGCTTGGAAACCACCTACTGTCATGGTCTCCTCCCTTGACAATGACAGACAGCCTGATACTTGACCCCAACACCCACCCCCGTCAATGTCTTTGTCTGACTAGGCCTGTCCTGAGAGTTCTGTGCCCTGCTCCAGCTCCACTGCACCCTCTCCTCAGCACAGAACTTGCAGTTTCATTCGTGCAGCACCTGAGTGTGCCAGGCCAGGGGCTGGCTAGCCCCAGGGAGACAAGCAGCTGGTGACCAAAGTCATGAATGAACTGTGTTACCGGGCAGACTCAGAAGAGGCACACCTGGCTGGTTAGATGGTCTCAACCTGGGTTGCTGTTCTGTGGGTGTTTGTGTTGTCAGTGGCATGTTTTATATAGTTTGCTATGTATAAGCTAACTATACTTCCTTCCTTTTTTTTTTTTTTTTTTTTTTTTGATGGGGAGTTTGCTGGGGATTAAATCCAGGGCCTTGCACATGCTAAGCATGTGCTCTACCACTGAGCCCCAGCCTTAGCTAGTTAAAAAAATAAAACAACAAAAAAAGCAGCCAGGCCTGGTGGCACATATGTATAATCCCACTCTGGAGGCCAAGGTAGGACTGTCATTTCCAGGTCAGCCTGAGCTACATAGTGAGACCCTGTCACAAATTAAAAAGCAGAAGAGAAAGATGGGGTTTCTGCAGGCTGTTCTTCTGAGGAGCAGCAGGTGCAAAGACCTGGTGGGGAAGAGGACAGAGTCTTTAGGTCCCTGAGCACAGGCCCCTCCCTGGCCCAAGAGTAGGAATTGAAGAAGCAGCTGATAAGTCAGGGGTCAAAGATTCTGTTTCCAAGTTTGGGTTTGATCTTAAGAACGGAGAACAGACAGAAAGGTTTCAGTAGAGAAAGAAACGGCGGATCTGTGCTTTTTTTTTTTTTTTTTAAACTGTGTACAAGTATACAATGTGAGGCAGGGAGGGGTGCATGTGCAGAAGTCGGGGGATGTCGCTTTATGAAGTCAGTTCTTTCCTACCACATTCACATGGATTCCAGAGATCAAACTCAGGTTGCCCTGCTTGGCCAACAAGCGCCTTTGCCCACTGAACTATCTTGCCAGCCCCTGATCTGTACTTTGAAAGATGGTGTTTGGAGCAGGACAGGAGGTGAAGTCCCAAGGAGGAGGCTGAGGCCAGTGCCGAGAGGTCTCCAGCCTGAAGCAGATATGTAGGAGCTGAGCCTGCCTCTGGCTGCTGCAACTGGAAGGTACTAGAAACCACAAGAGGAAGGAGGGCCGACCATTCCCAGTCCCACTCTCCTAGGCTTTGTTCTAGACACACCGATGCTCTGGCAAACAGTCCAGTCCCTCCTTTGGAGAGCTGACATTCTACTGCAGAGAGAACCAGATGGACAGACAACAGCCATGTGATATGCAGATGGCGACAAGTGCTTAGGAAAGAAGCAGAGAGGCGGGCAATGTGTTGATATGCTGTAGAAAATGAGCAAGGGGCCCAGGCAGCCAAGACAGCAAATGCTAGGACCTCGCCAACCTGTTTTTTCCGTACTCTGGGAATGTCAAGTGGCCAGAGGGTGAAGCAGGTCGCCAAGGGGAGCATGGCAGGAGGTCAGATTGGCACAGTGGGCAGGAACCCAGCTCCAGCAGGCTTATTACTGTGATCAGATGCTAAGATTGATCCTGGGGAACATGGGAGCCATGGAAGGTAGTTGATGAGCCCATACCATAATCTGGTGTACGTATTTTTAAAAGATCAGTCTGAGCTATAACATGGTGGTGCAGGCATGTCATCGCCTGTAAATACTCAGAAGGCAGAGGCAGGAGAATCATGAGTTCATGGCCAGTCTAGGCTCCATAATGAGAGGAGGGAGGGA